ATATGGATGCCAACAGGAATGGCTTTATTCCCGCTCTTTATATTAGAGACATCTGAGCGTTACGGGATCCCTCAGTGCTGGCTTCCTCAGTGTTCCCATTTCGGGCACGAGCTGTGTTTCTGCTGATGCAGTGTCTTCTGAGTTGTCTCCTGGTGTAGGTTGCTGTGTGTTTCACAGGAAAGCAGATAAATGATACCAAGTCACTGAGCTTATAAGTAGCATGCTGGCAACCTGCCACCAAAATATAAATACATTAAATGTACTGAAGGAATGTTCATTCTGTTGTTTAGCCTTGGATATGCCCCGGTTAGGTAAATTTAATCTTCTTGAGGGTTGTTGCACTGCAGCTGAATGAGATAGGCCGTTATCTTAATACTGATCTTTCTGTCATTCAGGATTCATGTTCTGGCATTCATGGTGTGAAGTGTGCTTCTCCCAGAGCAGTCCTAGAAGTGTTTTCCAAGAGAGATGAAGGTGCATAGGAGATCTGTTAGCACCTTGCAAGTTTTCACCCTCTTATCTTGGAAATGTTCATGCTTATTGTCAGTGACACCACTATTGGTCCAACCTCCTGTTGGTAGAAATGTGCAAAATGGTGGCTGTGCCTGTGTTTGTTAGTAAATGTCTGTAACTCAGTCTCACAGCATTTATTTTCTTCCTGGGTGTTTCTCCTGCAGCTCCTTCCAAAATCCCTGTCCCTGTCTCTGCTGCTGTTGAGATTGGGAACAAAACTCTTGATGACTCCAGGGTGAGCAGGGGCCGTGGTTAGGCAACAGACCCAAAGCCGGTGGATTGCATTAAAGAGGAGCCTCTTCATTGTTTTCCACTGGTGCTGGGTCAGGGCCTCCAAACGTGATCCTACAGCATAAATGCTTGTGACTAATCCCACTGAAACCTAGGGAGCTGCTCCCATGTGTGAGCACTCCCAAATCCAATGGGCAGTGTCAGTAAGCACTCTGCAACAGTCTAGCTCTTCTCTTGGTTGTACAACGAAAAGAAGGAATAAGGCAGGAAAAGGGAAGGAAAGGGAATACATGTGCAGAGAAATTCTGAGCTGGTTGTGAAGAACAGTGATGTTCCATACAGAATGCAAGTACTTAAAAAGATAAGACATCAGCTGTGTGTTCTACAGATAAGAAAATGTTATTTTATTGAATGGAGAGATATATATGTTTTACCTATCACATCTGAGCTAATCAGTGTAGGCTTTTAGAAGAAATCTGTAATTACTTTGAGCACATCATTAGTTAGATGTAAAATGAATGATATTGCTGCATTTTATCACCTTTAGTGATATAGCCATTTGTATCATAAATTCATTGACCTCATCTTAAATGATCAATTCTGTAAGACAGACTTGATTCATTAATTCTTAAGTGATATTTTTTTCTCCTTTACTAATTTCCTTATTGTTGTAGAGACAGTTTTTCTGCTTTTTAGTATGGTATTGTGAGGTGTCATATTACCTGCATATGAGTTACATATTTTTATACCTTTTGTCTTAACTAAGCAGCACAGACTGATTGCTTATGTAAGTAAAAAGAATGAGAGAAAAAACAAAATAAAATTATGAAATACATGAATGTAGAAGATGGACATTTTACACTGATGTTGTAGCTTCAACACTTTGAGATATTGCATTAAATCAATGAGATAATTATGGAATATTTGGTCTATGCAGGGTATTCAGAGGAATAGATTTGCTGCCTTTAATTTCTCTGGCTTTAATTAATTTTATCTAGTGATAAAATATACAGAAGGGTATGTGATCAATATGTGAGTGAGGCAGAGTTTCTTGTTCCTCACCAAATTATTGAAAATTGGAGAAATCAGTAGAGAATTTGTAAGCAGGATTTCTAAATATTTTACCAAGGAAGAGAAAATATTTGTTTAGCCAGGAGAGACACAGGATTCCACTGGAGATAAACAAATCAATACAGCAATAATACAGTGGAGTGTTTCAGTGAATTTTGCAAATGCTAACAAATATAATTAAATTATTAGAAAAGATGCCACAATTATTTGTGGAGCTGTATTTCTCTTTCAATCCCTTTAATTAAGGTCATGGATGGGGCTTTTCCTAGGAAGAGAAGGAGACTGGGTTTACTCTCTCATATTTCTCAGGCACTTCTTTGGCAGGGGGTTACAAGGTGGTTTATTCCTTGTCCCAAAGGAAGGGCAAGTCTTCACTGCAGATGCACCTGAAGTCCTGCTCCATCCCTTTCTGCAGGCACCTCTGAGGCCACTCTCCTCCTTGTCTTTCCGCTGCAAATAGATGGTGATGGGCCAGGGTGGGCTTCATGCTGCCCCAGCCTGCCTCAGGAGCTTTGTGGGAGCTCCTGGTATCTCTTTGTACATCTCCTGGGGTACAGGTGGAGTCTAGCTGCATCTTTGCCAGCCCTTGGGGCAAGAGCATACTCTGCAAGCAGCAGGAGGAGTGTGGTGGAGTACATCCTGATTCCATGCATGCAAAATAGATAGCATTTTATGGCTACAGCAGTGAGCTCTCACTCAGAAATAACTTTAAGGTAAATTCAGCAGTTCTACTGAGTTAAATGTATCTTATTACCTCATAGTGTAGACTCACAAATTCCCCTTTTGTCTGCTTTGAAAACAGTGGCAAGACAGAAAATTTCAGGAGGTTGATTACAGGATGGTTCCATCATGTGTGCTGCCTTGCCAGGTGGGTGGCAAACCCACAGCCATGCCAAATATGCAGGATGGTTCAGTGCCACTGCTGTGTGCTTGCATTGTTTGCAGCACAAGCTCCAGGGCTGTCTGTGATGGCCCCTGAGCCTTCCTGTGGAGGGCTGATACCTGATAAAATCCAGGAGCTATTGGAAGTGGCATTGTCCCCTCTGCCCTGCTTGCTGCACTCTTGCTTTCCCATCTGCCCCACGCCTGGGGGATGCATGCCCCATGGCAGTGCAGGCATTTATCCCAGCACTTCTGTGCATTTCACAGCCTTTTTGCCCACACATTTTAGGGTGTGACAACGTCACTGTATGTTCAATGCAGGGCTGGACTTGTTTGCACCAGGAAATTTCCTTTTTTGCCACAGGGCACCACGCTGGAAATACAGCCTTACTGATGCCACATGTGCCAAGCAGCACCAGCAGCCCCTCTGCTTTATCCCACAGGGCACAGTGTCTGCATACCCAAGCTAAAAATCTGGGTCCTGCATTCACAAACTTCAGGGCTGACTTAGGGGTTGCTGCTTCTCAACTGATTATTTAGCTTGATTTAAATGTTGGGATAAGAGAGAGGAGGGAGTGTGTGCCTGTGTGTGTGAATGCGGAGGGGAGCAAGAGGGAAAGAAACAGTGACCTGGCAGGATAGCCAAAAGGTGGAGGAGTTAAATGGGCTAATAGCCATAGCATACTGTGTGTGTGTGTCTATATACATTAAAGATATATTACTGAAAACTCAAGAATGTCGCCACTGTTTATATTAAAGGAAAGCTGAGAGTTAAATGAGATGGGTAATCAGATGCCCAGCATATGTTGTTTTGAATTGTTTATATGGCCAATAGTTATTAAAATTAATTATCCTTTTAATGCAGTCTTTTCACAATCATAGTCTTCTTTGGGGTTTTTAGTGTATTTTTTTTCCTCTGTACAAAAGATAGAGTCATTTCAAAACAAGCTAATGTGGGCTATTTGGAAAAGACAGAGCAAACAATACCCGGATATATTATGACATGGTCATAGGCTCAACATGCTGATAGAAAGCACCAAAAATCTCTGTCAGTGGAATATTTTGAGAACTAATGTAAATGACAAAAATGGGGGGGTTTTGTGTGTGTAAAATTCTGTCAAAAAAGTGAGGCACTGAAAAATCTGACATCTGTTTATCTGTTTATAGCTATGGCAAGATTACTCATATTAATTCTTGTTTAAAATGCCATATGAAGGAAAGGCATTTGTGCAAACAAGAGTCATATTTGAATTGTAGATCATGTCTTCACCATCTGTGAGAGCTGTTGGTGTTGCAAAATTAATGTGTTAATGAAATCACAATAATTTCTCTGAAGTAATGGATTCTGAAGCCTAGAATGACTATTTTTTGAACTTTGGTGTCTAGTGGTTTACAACTGGGAAAACCTTTCACAGCTTAATTAGTTCTGCAGCCTTATTTTTAAAAAAAATTGGCTGTGCCTTTACCACACCAACAGCAACACAAAAAAAGGATTAAATGGAAAGCAGAGAAACAAAAAAAAAAATGAGCCTGCAATGCAAACTTTTTGCCATAGTATTTGAGAGTTGCTAAACAGGTCCTTGCTTGCCAAGAGTTTTACTCAAAGTGACTTGTACACAAGAGTGGGCAAACAGCTCAGAAAATAATTCCAGCTTGCTGAAACATCACAAATTGGGACTATTCGAACCTTACGCAAATATCCCAACTTTTTCCAAGTTTCTCCTTGGAACGAAGGGCAAAGAATCAATGATGGTTTTTGCTTTGTGATGCCATTTTGAAATATCACACTCTTTCCAGCCTGTTATTTGATACCCTTGGTAGAATACTAAATGTTACTGTGGGCTGCAGTTTAGCAGAGAACGGTTTGCATTCATTTCCAGCAATTCTCTGAGTCCTTTTCCAGTTCTTGCACTTCTTGTGTAGAGTGGCATCTCAGATAGCACAGGCGTGCTTAGATTGCCACCAAGGAGTGATCACAGCCATACTCAAATGGACTTTGCATGCTTACATATGCGTGTTATAACAGTTTATGCCAGCTGAGGATTCTTTTCTGTACTTTGGGTTTAAGATATATAAAGCATCATATAAGGTAGAACTGAGATCATGTGAGCCAGAAAAGGGAGTGGCATTCAATTCATTAATATGTTGGGGGGGAAAAAAAAGGTGCAGTTTTCACAAATGCGACTTCTTTTTTTCCTGTTAGAAAAATAATGTGTTTAGCAACTGAAAAATTACTTTTAAAATAACTCTATGAAGAGGAGATTGCTTTTCTTACCTGATTTGATTTTATTACTGTGTTGTAGGTATGTGACTGGTGTAAGCACATAAGACACACAAAAGAGTATCTGGATTTTGGGGACGGGGAAAGAAGGCTTCAGTTCTGCAGTGCAAAATGTCTCAATCAGTACAAAATGGACATTTTCTACAAAGAGACACAGGCCAATCTTCCAGCTGGACTGTGCAGTACATTACATCCTCCAGTCGAAAATAAAGCAGAAGGCACTGGGGTGCAGCTGCTGACTCCAGATTCTTGGAATATACCGCTAGCAGATGCTCGGAGAAAAGCCCCATCCCCAGCGTCTGCAGCTGGCCAAATTCAAGGCCCTGGACCATCAGCGTCTACCACTGCCTCTCCGTCTGACACTGCCAACTGCTCTGTCACTAAAATCCCCACGCCAGTTCCCAAACCTATTCCCATCAGTGAGAATCCAAATATTCCACCAGTTTCTGTCCAGCCACCTGCTAGCATTGTGCCTCCAATTGGTGTCCCTCCTCGCAGTCCTCCCATGGTGATGACAAACCGTGGGCCAGTTCCTCTGCCCATATTCATGGAACAGCAAATTATGCAGCAAATCCGTCCACCGTTTATTCGTGGGCCACCTCACCATGCCTCAAATCCTAACAGCCCTCTGTCAAATCCAATGATTCCTGGAATTGGTCCCCCACCAGGTGGTCCCAGAAATATGGGTCCTACCTCTAGCCCCATGCACAGGCCAATGCTTTCCCCCCATATCCATCCCCCCACAACACCTACCATGCCTGGAAATCCTCCTGGCTTGTTGCCACCTCCCCCTCCCGGAGCTCCTTTGCCCAGTCTTCCTTTCCCCCCTGTCAGCATGATGCCAAATGGTCCTATGCCTATGCCACAGATGATGAACTTTGGATTGCCATCCCTTGCCCCACTGGTGCCACCCCCAACTCTACTAGTGCCATATCCTGTCATCGTCCCTTTGCCCGTTCCCATCCCCATTCCCATCCCCATCCCTCACATCAACGATTCCAAACCCCCCAATGGCTTCTCCAGCAATGGCGAAAGCTTCATTCCGAGTACCTCCAGTGAGACGCCTGGGGCAAAGCCAACCAATAGCTCTTCATCCCCTCGAGAGTCAAAGCAAGGATCATCCAAATCCTCTGACTCATCACCGAGCTGCTCAGGCCAGTCCCTTAATCAAGCTAAAGTGCTTCAGGAGCACAGTAAAAATGAAGTTGTTGATTTGACTGTCAGACCTAGTAGTCCAGCGAACAGTAAATTTGGTTTCCCCAGCGTGCTGCAGGGTCCACAGGACGGTGTGATAGACCTAACAGTGGGCCACCGGTCTAGGCTGCACAATGTCATCCACAGGGCTCTGCACGCCCAGGTGAAAGTTGAACGTGAACCTAACAGTGTTGTAAATTTGGCTTTTGGTAGCTCAGACAAAAGGAACTGCAGTGACTGCAGGGACAACTGCAGCCCGGTTGACTCAAAAACGTTACCGTGCAGTGACGGAGCTCACTGCTGTCCCGTCTCCTTGGCCTCTGGCACGCCAGGACTGGAAGCTGGCGCAGCGGTGTGCAACGTCATTGTGAATGGCACAAAGAGCACAGAGGGTTCCAAGAACCCGGAGCCGCCCCAGGAGCCGAAAAAGCCCCAGTCCCCGGAGGAGCTGGCGGTGAGCGAGCTGGAGTCCGTGAAGGAGAACAACTGCGCCTCGAACTGCCACCTCGAGGGAGAGGCTGGCAAGAAGTGTGGGGAGGAGCCCCTGGCTGGGGGAGACAAACAGGACCCGAACCTTAACAATCCAGCAGACGAGGACCACGCGTATGCTTTGAGGATGCTGCCCAAGACAGGCTGCGTGATCCAGCCTGTGCCAAAACCAGCAGAAAAGACTGCTATTGCGCCGTGCATTATCTCAACGCCAATGCTCAGCACAGGGCCAGAGGATCTGGAGCCACCATTGAAAAGGAGGTGTCTCCGAATTCGAAATCAGAATAAGTAAAGGTTTGTGTAATCACTACTGCCTTCTGTGTGAATAGAATTCAGTATTTTCAGGTGTGAGGGCAAACTCATGTGGATATGGCCTTCATGAAAGAGAAAGATACAAATTTCAATTTATGAGCACTTTCAGAAAACTACTGGTATTTGTGTTGTAGTATTGTTTTTTGTGTTGTATTGCATCTGTACTTGTCAGTACTCCATTCATCAGCAGCCTCATTACACTTTTTCTCACAGAACATGTCATGATGGTTCTGGCCGTGAAGTTATTGTGCTGTGTGTGTCAAAATCAGTGGTTTTCTGCCTAGAATATGGTACAGGTCTGGGCCATTAATCTGCTTACTTATTCCAGCTGAGTTACACAGCAGCTCAAGCCTTCACGATGACTGAAATTGCCCTGCAGCGTAGCACAGAGCCAGATGACCCAGCAGCTTCCTGCTAGCTCAGATCCAATGGACTTAGCAAATGGTCACCTCCAACCATCTCACTTTGATCTGCCTCCAGACTGCACCCTGGCTTTCCACTGAGCTGTTCTCGAGAGACTGAACTCCTCTCCATGGGCTTTCCTTTCTGGGGTATTGGTGCTTAGGGACTGCCTGCTGTTTGGGACCTGCCCACTATAGCTTATTGCAGCAAAACCTCTGCCATGGGGCTTTACTGCCCTTCCTGAGGTATCTGCCTTTGGTGCAAGTCACCCACTTTAAAAAAGCAGCTGAGATTTGCCCCAGCCCAGTGCTTGGTGTATGTTTGTGGCTCCTGGTAGGGCTGCAAAGCAAGGCAGAGATTTGGGTATCTCCACCACCCTCCTTGGCTTGTCCAAGGACAGTGCTCCATATGCAGAAACTTCTCATCCTTCGTTTCCAATTTCCAGCCTACTGAATCCCTCTGATAGCATAGCACCTTTGTAAAACTCTTTGTTTAGTATGTGTCTGATGCTTCAAACCTGAGAGTGAGAAACTGTCTAATGAATCTTCCCTGTCTAATGAATCTTCCCTGTCAGACCATGCAAGAACGGCTCTGGCAGTCACTCTTGTACCACCTGACCTGGGACAAAGCCCCTCCACAGCTACACACCCCACACTCACACAATCAGACCAGTTTTCCTCACTGGCTTGACCTCAGGTTTTCTACATCAGAGTTCTCAGATATCCCAATCATTATAATAATTTCATCATGGTGCAATAAATAAATAACAAAATAACAGCTTGAGCTGATGCCTTTGAGTAGGGATGCAGAACAAAGGAACCCTGGGCTTTTTTACCTTGTATACCCTCAGAGTCTGAGCACAGAGAAGTCTGGGAGTTGTTGGGGGTGTGTGGTCACCCTGTGTCCTTTGTTATGGAAAGGATCAGTGCCCATTCCCACTCTCTTGCCTGGTGCTCAGGCTTGGGCTCTGGCCCCCCCAGAGCTCAACCTGCAGCTGGCACTGCAGCTGCACACTGTGCTACCTGCATTGAATATATTCGTTAACAAAACTAATGTAATGGAATTTATTTAGATTCACAAGCATGAAGAGCTTCTTTCAGGAAAAGGGGAAATGGTGGGTGTTGCAAGAAATCTGTTCAGCAGTAAAATACTGATGCTTAGCCGGATGTGGCTTGGTGACATGCCAGATTTCATTACAATCCATGGAATATTCTGTAGCCTCCAGTAAATCCCTGTTCCTAGTAGCACAAATAATGACTGCAGTGGTGTTTGGCACCTACAGCCACAGATAGCAGCAGCAGACTGTGTAATCTGGGCCATTGCAGTATCTCCCTGCTCCATCAGTGTGGGCTAATTGCACCATCAAAGATATATAGTATAGCCAGGACTGCCTTCTCATTTGTTAACACAGCCTTCCCTGTGCTCATTGCAGGGCTGGAAACATTTCTTCCCTTGATCACCAACAGTATTTATTTACTTTCTTCGGTGGAATACAACCATTATTCTTTGCTCTCAGCATGTGCTGACACACATAAAAGATACACTAATAAGAAGAGAGGACAACTATCACATTCTTGGACTAGTAATCAGCATTTACAGGCACTTGAAAGTCAAATTAATATTTAAATCTTTACACACTCCTAGGTCCTATTAGTGGGGATCCCCCTACCCACCCCTGAGGTATGGAATGTATGTCCCTCAGCAGCAATATCTTTATTGCAAACCCCTGTGTTACCTTTGGAGCTTGAAAGATTCCCTTCATAAATGTATGCATGCTTCTCCCTAGGGGTAGTGATTTGATCTAGTGAGAAGGCCACTATTTGGCTGTGTCCTTTTTATTAAGTTTTAGGAGAGCTATGGTTAACCCTTTCCTACCTCATTGGAGCTCCTCATAGCTGCTTATTTCAAGACAGTGCTAGAAGACTTGCATATTATGTGCTTACTCTGTAGTCAAAGACAGGCTGGTTCTTAGCATCTATTTCTGCTTGCCTGGACTATCCAGGCTGCAGCAGGGCTGCCTCTTCAAGGTCCCAGTCCCAAGAAGAGTTTAGTAACATTCAAAGCCAGAGCCTAAACCCTCAGAGAGAGTTCTGGCTTCACCGAGTAATGTGTTTTTGCCTGTTAACATGATTATTCATGACATCACAGATAGTATTTGAGAGGGAAGGTTGGCAAGCTGAACAAGCTGCATTAGAAAGACAAGGATTCTTTATCATTCAGTTACTGTCCTCAGCCCTTTGTATTCTCTAAATGTCAATAACTGCCGCTGTGATTATCTTCGGGAATAGCGATTTTCCCTTTCATCCTGAGTTTTTCATATTTCTTTGCCTCAGTGTAAGGGTTGTCTTACAGGAAAGTTTTCAGGTTGCCAGGCAAGATTAATCTGACCCAATACAGACATCTGTAACAAAGATGCAGCTGAGCTAATTGTCTAAACTCCCTTTAACCTAGAGAAGCAGGCACTTTAAAGAGACAGCTGAGCTCATCCCAGAGTCAACAACTGAGACATCTCAGATGAATTGTGCCCTAGGAGTGCCTATTTCTGCCTGCAATGAGGTAAATTTAGGGTGACTGGCACAGACCTAGATTTCCACACAGACACTGGAAGTTAAGAAGCCCAGCCCAGGTGTCTGCCATACCCCTGGGGCTTGTGCAGTAGCATAGCACGGCATGGTGATGGTTATTAGTCTGTGTCCATCCCCTCATTCCTCCAGGAAAATAAAAGAAGTAGCCTCTGTGCAGAAGATATGGGAGACCAGGGTCCCTAAGTGCTCCAAGGGAAAGAGGATACTCCAAATACCCTGCAGAAGTAAACACCATGGTAACCATCTCATTCCAGTGGGTACCTCAGTGAAATATGGGTGGGTTTTTGAGCGCCTCAAGGCACGCACGAGTGATTTGTGCAGCTCTGATGATTGATTTGAGGTGAGGACTCTGTGGTTTCATGAAGAGCCCTTCTTTTGCTATTTCAGCATTGCTGGTCATAGCCAGTCTGGGGGAGCAAAAGGGCTCTGCCTTAGATTTCTGCCCTCCCTGCCTGTGAGGACTGAGCCTGTCTGTGTCTGTGCAGACGAGAACATCAGTGTAGCCTCTTGCACCCACAGCCCTGAGCTCTGCCATGTCCATGGGTTAGTTCCTCCTGCCCAGGCCTCAGGAAGCAGGGAGATAAAACCCTTCTTCTGCAGTCTAGTTGTGGGGAGGATGTCTTAAGAGAGACTCCAACCTCATAGAAATTCTAATAAATTAGAAAGAGGATAGAAGCTGCACTAACAAGTGCGTTGATTTGGGCCCTTGGAGGTTTGTATTGATAGCGCTGGCTACACTAACCTGGGAGAAAAAAAGTCCAGCCAGTTGTCTTTTTCCCTCTTGCTTCTCACCTACTTGAATTGGAAAATCTGAACATATTGCTCTAATGTGTAACTTTTCCTGGATTTTATTTCCCATCAAATTGTGTGACAAGAAGGAAATTAGCCAAATATTTTTACGCTAGAGTTCTGGACAGACAGATTGAATTCATGTAACAGCAACATGGACTCTCTAAAAAGGAATCAGTGCAAGCGTGACCTTTTTGGGCAAGTTGCCAATTTCTGGATTATTTAATGTACCAATTACTTGATTATTGAAAGTGCTAATCAGCAACATAATCCTTGATGTGAAAGTTTAGTTTCTCCATCAGGATGTGGACTGTCAAGCTGTTCTAACTTGATGCAATTTGAAAAACTATCAAAAGATGTCTCAGTGCCAAAGTCCTGCTATGATAAAGGAATGAAGCTAGGAAGAGTATTCTGTTGAGTGTTATATTCTCAAGTTTGAGCAATGTGAGTTTCTAAAATTAGCAGTGTTAGTGTTGCCTGCCTACATGCTTTATGCCCTAGTGGGATCAGTTTTTACCTGCTAGCTTTGATGTCAATGTTTCCTAAAGCAAAGAAATGAAAACACTGAGGTCTGCTTGGATTTAACATGATAGTTATGTTAAACTAAATGAGAAAACGAAGTGGCACATGCTAAACTCACAACTAGCTTCTGTGTGTGCATATGTGTGTGTGTTGGGTAATCCTGTGTTGAGGACAGAGGGGTCAGAAAAGGAAAGAGTTTTCTGCATGTGACAGCAGAATTTCTTCCAGAAGTAATGGAAATAGTAGGTGTATGGCCATCTACAGAGCCAACCTGTATGTCTCGGGGTCAGCATCTGCTGAAAGTGAAAGGCCCAAACCTTCAGCTGTCTAGTCCGTGCACTGTACTCGTAAAAATATACAGCATGCAGAACACTCAGTTCAGAGCAGAAGTAGTATGTATCCCACTTTGAGCTCCTCTGCCCATAATGGTCCAGCACAAGATTTCCTACTCTGGTCTGGATTCCTGAGGGAAGGAGCATAGCTATTGACCTCCTTTTCTTTAGCCTTAGAGATTTTAGATCTCCTCTGTCACTGTGGTATCTATCTACCAACATCTTTCTTACCTCTCCCCAGATTGCTCTGACAAAATTTGACCTTAAACATGTAGTTGAAAATAGTTTTTCTGTATTTGAACACGTTTCTATGCTAGTTATCTTTGTTGACATGGTACTACAGGCCAGAGCC